AATACTCAGGACTGAACTCTGAGCTTAACTTTTCTCTTGCCCAAATTCCTCTCTAAGGAGCCTGGGGAGTCATGCCTTATAAATGATAAAATCTCATTAAAAATTTTTTTTTTCCATTAACCTGGTATAATGTGGCTTACTTTCCAACCTGACTCTGATATAGCATCACATGACAGATGTCAGATCCCCTTATCTTAACTCAAGCATTCCTTCCTACTGACTCCAAGCTTTTACACAAAGCTTAACTCCTTCAACCAGTTGCCAATTAAAGAATCCCTAAAACCCACCTCTGACTAGTAAGCCTCCTCTTCAAAATGTTCCTCCTTTTCAGGCCAAACCAAAATATACCTTCTCTGTATTAATGTATGATTGCACATGCAGTTTCTGTCTTTCTGAAATGTATAAAACCAAACTGTAATCCAGCCACCTTGGGCTGTGGTCCCCAAGCCGGCAGCCATGGACCCGGTACCAGAACCAGGTTGCTCACCTCTTGCAAGGGAGAGAAGCTTCCTGTGTATTTACCGCCACTGGCTATTGCTCGCACAAGCTACCTCTTATCAGACGAGCTCGGGCATTTAAACCCTAACTTAAACTACTCGTGCAAGGAATCTAGGTTGGATGCTCCTTATGAGAATCTAATGCCTGATGATTTGAGGCGGAGCTGAGGTGGTGATACTAGCACTGGGGAGCAGCTGCAAATACAGATGATCATTAGCAGAGAGATTTGACTGCGCAATATATGTAATGCACTTGAATCATCCTGAAACCATTCTCCCCACCACCTCAGTCAGTGGAAGAATTATTTCCCATGAAACCAGTCCCTGGTGCCAAAAAGGCTGTGGACCGCTGGCCTTGGGTACACTTTCTCAAGACCTCTTGAGATCTCTTGAGACTATGTTCCCAGGACAGCAGTCACTTTTATTGGCTCAGAACAAACCTCTTTAAATACTTTGGTAGCATTTAGTTTTTCTGTCATCAATACATTTTCATTATTTAGCATCATACTATATACCAGTATGTGCCTGGTACATGTTATTTGCTATTACTATTATTACTATTCCATTTATCATTTTTTGTTATTGTTATTATTGACATTGGTATTTCCTCGTAGTTCTTGCCAGAAGTAAAATATATAGACCAACAAAGGAAAAATGCTTCCCCAAATTTTCTTCAATACATGTGCATTTTAATATGCATCCAAAAATTCTTAGCCACATATCAGATTATTAATGACTAAGACTCCCTGCTACTGGCCTCCAACTGCACAGATATCTTAAGAATAGCACTGAAGGAAAGCAAATGTTCTTAAACTTTTCTATTACTTTTTAATGGATTATTGACATCTATTCTTCATCATTATTTTCTCCTAAAACACACAGTATGGAAACTAGCAGTCAAATTTGTATTTGCTTCCCATAATAAAATTATGAGCAAAGGGTATCAACATGTAATTTATCAAAGGGGAAATCTGACTAGAAAGATGTGGACAGAGAATTTATTTCACTCTCAGATAAATAAGTGTAACTTTTTAAAAATGTCATTTCCTACTATTAAATTTGCAAGGGAAATGCTGACAAAAGTATCATAAAAATAAGAATGACCCACATTGCCTTCCAGTGCTAAAATTGACATATGCCTTCAGGAAAGCAATTTGGTCATCCCAATTTAGTCTTGTTAAAGGGACTTGCTCAGGTAGTCCCTTGAGCCCAAGCTGGCAATGCATGGAATGCTATCACTCTACGTACATATTGTCTATTCAATGCACCTTGCTCTCCTTTGCCAACGTCCTTAAATGCCTTCCTCTAATATCAGCTCTCTGTCTGGCCTCTCCATTTCTCCTTAAATACCTCTTTAAAATAATAATCCCTAGGAATGTGTAATCTTAGCTGATCATATCACTTCTCAGAGACAGAATGTCTTCTACATGCTCTTTAGGGGTACCAGAATATTCCACCCTGAAATATTCTTCTTTGGCATGTGGATTATTTTGAACTAAAGACCATTGAGAACCTCCAAATGCAGGAACACCTTTACAAATAGGGCACACATTTTTCCTTTTGTAAATGAAATTTCCATTTGTAGAAATGAAGAGGAAGCTTAACAACTCTTATCAGTAGATAAGACACTTAAATCTGCATAACAATCCTTACTAAACAACTCTTGTTTATACATAATTTTTTTGGTTACTGTCCCATAACTTCTTTCCTCCACACAAAATCCCAACCCCCTTTATTTTAGCCTAAGATGGCTAGAAACCTAGGTTCTAAATACCCTTTAGAGTTCTCTGATACACTCATTTCTCAGTGCTCCCATGTGTTAACATGCATCATGCACATGTTGATAAACTTCTATTTGTTTTTTACTTGTTAATCTATCTTTTGTTACAGAGACCCAGCTGAGAACTAAGAAGGATAGAAGGAAAAATAGTTTTTTCCTCTCCTATACTTTTCTTATACAAAAATGTGATGACTACAAGAAGACACTACCCCCACTCCCTCTCTTGGGTCCCAAAGGAATAATCCAGCCGAGCCCATGCCTTGCTGCCCTGTGCCAATGTATCAACTGTTGGGAAGGGGTGGGCTACAGAGGAGGGAAGAGGGAGAGAAAAATGGAAATAAAATAATATATATACAAGGTTTTTTAGGGGGTTGAGACCCCTACAACTAGTAATTTCTTTCTTGTAATTCCAATACTAATTCCAATCAAATGGGGGAGGGGGAACAAGAGTGAAGAGTTTATTTTTACATTGCCAATAATAGTAAACAATGAGAAAGGACCCAGATGTCTTATCAGGAGGGATGGAGGAGCAAACTGTGAAGTGGTCCCTGTGTGGACCATGATACAATCATGCCACATGAGCTTGCGGAGATGGTAAAACAGATGGAAAATGCTACTGATGGCATGTCAGATGTAAAAGAAGGGCACAAAACTGTGTGTGCCCTGGCCACAGTGCAACCCTGTAAAATGCACAGGAGTGTCGGCAACTCTCTTCTTGAGTTAATTTTTAGACAGGTCCAAATGATTTCATCTACCTCCTTTTCTACCCTACACTAAGACTTGAACAAAGACTAACATAGTTTCGAGAACATCTCAAGGGTGCTTCCCTAGGATGACCCTAGCCACCCTTAAAGTGCTTGCCTAAAAAAAAAAAAAAAAAGAAAAGAGAAGAAAAAGAAAAAAAACAGAAATAAGAAAGAAAGAAAAAGAAAAGAAAGAGCTCAAGGCTACTAAAAGAATTTCAGGGTTGTTCTAGCCATTCTAGCCTACACTAGATGATAGGCCCCTGTCCTCTCTTTACTTAGAGCATTTACTAAAAAACCCTTAAAAATTGTGAATATGTAGCTCATCTCCTACACCCCAAGGATGTCTTTCTCAAGGACCAGAAAGCCATTTTTTGAAATGTAATTATTAGAAGGCATAGGGCCTCTGTCTCCCAGTCTCTGCGGGAGGATAGAATCCTAACTTCAGTAATTTCCAGCTAACTGACACAGCTGGTCTAATACATCAGTGCTGACCAACTCTAATTTTTTACTTCCCTGACTCTGCTCAAGACCCTGCTGCTCCCTTCCCTACTCTCTTATTCTCCCTTTAAAAAGTCCAGGCACCTCTGCACAAATTGATGTTGAGTTCAGTTCATAGGGGACTATCTTTCCTACTGCAATAGTATATTACTGATTAAAATCTGTCCTTATCACTTTAACCAGTGTCCAGCTTTGTTTATCTTGGACAGGACCAGTTGTTAAGGACTCGAAGCCGGCCATCAGTGTGATTGTTTTAGGGTGGTGGGATTATACTCATTAGAAATCATTAGGAAAACCATTTTCTGTGTTTCTGAAAAGAACAATCCCTGCACATTGCCATGAATAAATGTTTAACAAAACTTTCTAGGAAGTGATTCTGATTTATGAATTCTGCATTAAACCATCTAAGTACATCTGTTATGCACATCATAATGGTAACTCTTTGGGTAATGATTTCTTAGAATCACAAATGGTGTATAAATTTCCCAGCGATTTAAGCATTTGAGGGGTGTGAGTATGTCTTGGGTGATTGCCTATTATACTCAAATGCTAGGTTTATACAGTGGCCTTTGTTCCTTCCTTTTGTGTCTCAGAATCTGGAAGTGCAGTCTTGTGTGGGGGCAAAGAATTGCTACCTAAGAGGAATATTTCTGCGTGTATTAGACAGTGTTCGCTTGTCTTTAATTTAGTGTTTTGCAATGTACCTCAGAAATGATTAAAACTGCCTTACAAAGCAGGTAGGAGGAAAAGAGTTTGCATTAACTTCAAGTTCCGGTGTCCCTTTATAAAGCCTGGTGTTAGAAGGACTGACTTTGGGATCATACCTCTCACCTTTGACCCTTCTCACACCCCTTAACTTGGAGTTGCCTGAACATAGCATATATTGGGATCCCATGGTTTTATTCTTTCTGTATGGTCTAGTCCCTTGCTCTTAGCCTTTTGACTCTGATGAACTTTTGATGCCCTTCAACATCAGGTCTGAGCCCGACTCTGCTGTGAGGCGGCGCCCAGGTCTGCACCCATGAGCCTCATTGGCCTCCTCTCGTCCCACCCCTGCTGCAACATAACCGCTGCAGCACACGCACTTCTAGCTCTGGTGGTATCTGTATTTCTTGCTAAGCATAACTTCCCCCGGGGCAAGGAACATTGTATCCCCGATGTCAAATACTATTTCTGGGACAAACTAAGGATTCAATAACTGTTTATGGGACAAACAACTGAAGCTGTTATTGTTACCAGGGATTAACTGACACTAAATATTGTAATTAAGAGCTGAGATTTAACTTCTCTCTCTTTCATCCAATCCGATACATATACACATGCATGTGTGCACACCCCCTCCCCCAGAAATGCAAGATGATTTAATCAAAAATCTGTAAAAATTCTGAAAAATATGCACGGCTGATCCCAGGCTCCCGGCCCCTCTGGACTGGACGCGTTGGGTGGCTGCAGGAGGAGGTGCGGAGACCACAAACTTACGTTTTGCAGCTGGACGTGACTCTTCACCAAGCTTTCTGACTTTGTCATTGTGCTGGACACTTTGAGACTGTAGTTTTTACCATTTTGTGGCACTTTCAGCTGCTCTTGGATTTGTTTAGCTTGTTTCCTGCAGGTATGAATAAATATGTGTATAAATATTTGCATAAATTCATTCTATTCCTACTTTTTGAGGTTTGTACATTCTCAAGATCTATGTTTGTTATTTGCTAGACAAATTCAGTTAACAAAGGGAGTCCTTCTCTCATTTTCAACCCCACCAAGAAATATTTCCAATGTAGAAAGCACCTGGTATCACCCACCACCATGCAGGATTCACACTCAATAGGATTTCAAAGGCAGAAACATAATGTGTTGTCCTGGCCCGCATGGATGCAAGAGGCACCCTAAGTGCTCAGCTGCAAAGAATTGGAAATGCTATGGGGAAGTGACTGGAGGAAAAATTGGGGGCTTGGGTCTAGTGGCCACATAGAACATACTTGTGAAGTTACATTTACATTTGTACAATTAAAATATGTTGAGCTGGCCAGGTGTGGTGGCTCACGTCTGTAATCCTAGCACTCTGGGAGGCCGAGGCGGGCGGATTGCTCAAGGTCAGGAGTTCAAAACCAGCCTGAGTGAGATCCCATCTCTACTAAAAATTAAAAAAAAAAATAATTTGCCAACTAAAAATATATATATACAAAAAATTAGCCGGGCCTGGTGGCGCATGCCTGTAGTCCCAGCTACTAGGGAGGCTGAGGCAGGAGGATTGCTTGAGCCCAGGAGTTTGAGGTTGCTGTGAGCTAGGCTGATGCCACGGCACTCTAGCACGGTCAATAAAAGTGAGACTGTCTCAAAAACAAACAAACAAACAAACAAACAAACAAAAAACCCAAATATGTTGAGCTTAACTACATGACTTGCCTATGTGCTGTAATGTGTATGTTTTCTGTCTTTCATAGTTTAGAAACAGCTCATTTATTGTCACCAACAGTCCAAATAATAAAAATAGTCAACTCTTTAAATAGGTAGCAATTACTGATCAATGTGCCATACATCATTTTAAGTGTTTTACGTGAATCAACTCATCTATTCTTCACAATAATTCTATAGGATGAGGCAATAATATTCTATCCATTTAATAGCTGATAACTGAGGCACAGAGAAGTTAACCCGTTTTCCCAGGGTCACACAGCCAGTAAATGGCAGAGTGTGGATTTTCACCCAGCCAATCTGGCTGTGTACTCTAGATCCTCAACCACCAGGCAGAACTGCAAGCCTCTTGTCCGCAGTCTCACAGTTTCTAAGAGGGAAAGCTGAAATTGCTGTAGTGTTTTGGACTCCAAGTAAAGTGCGTGCACATGTGGAGTGACTGTTGTTTGGGTCATTTGGTGCCTGTATCAGAAGGACAGGACAAACCACCGCCTTATTAGCAGTTCTCTTCCAGAAGCTTCACAGAAATTATATCCATACCAGTGTAAGAGCTGATACCCATAAAAAAACACAAAGCTTTGCAGTGTCAACCTAAATAACAAACAAGGAAGGGGACTCTCTAAAAGAAAATGATATCTATTCAGGAATAGACAGTGCAAGGGAAATACTAATATGAGTGCCATAGTAAACTATGTGTGTACCCCCGGAGAGGCAGAGAAAGCTTCTTAAAATAAAAATAAAAAGGATTGCATAACTGTTTCGAGATAGTCATCCATGGCTACAAGGATCAATAACAAGGGTAGCAGCAGGGCAAGGCTGACAGATATCTTGCTAAGCAGATATCTTTGCAGGAGTACTTTTTTCTGTAAGGTTGTGATGCCCTTTGTTCAACCTTATGGTTTTTGCAGAGTCTTCTGTGATAGTTCTTGTTGTCAGGCATTTGGGCATAAGAACCCTCCTTTATGGCCTTCCCTGGCTCTATTTTTCAGGGTTTTTAACTCAAATGACTCTACTTTGATTCTGACCATTTTCATAGCAGAATCCTCCCCCTGACTTTTGCTTCTCCCCCAGGATGCCTGTCAAGGATAGAGCCATTCTTGGGGTACATGCTCAGTCCTCCCCAGTGAGCTTCCCCACCCTACAGAGCATGGGCTCTTACATCACAGGGACTGGCATTTTAATCCCAGTCTGCCATCCACTAGTTTTGATACCCTAATGATTACCTAAACTTCATTGAGCCTCAGTTTCCTCATCTGTAAATGGATTTCATAAGAACTATCTTTCTTCCCTGGACACTGTGGTGACTACACATGGGGGCACATGCAAAGCGTTCATCTCTTTCCCTTTTTGTCATGAAGGAAGTTCTTTCTTATGACCGGATGCTGCAGAAGAATTAGAACATTGGCCCCAAAATAAAAGACTGAACTAATTGCATCTTCATAAGCAAGTCACCAGCATTTGCCGCAAGATTTGGAAGCTCTGAGCATCATTATCCCTTTTGAATTTACAACACCAGTGTGGTGTATTTCTTTTTGTTCAAATATTTATTTTATCTTTTCAATTATTTGGGGGACTTTATCTCTCGCACTCTCAGTTGCTTTAATCCAGTTGTAATAATCTATGTACTTCCTTACAGCTAATCTGTAGCCTATTGTTAAAAATAAATCTATCATATCAGCATTGTAAGAAGCACATTACAGCCACAAAATTCGATCAGGGATTCATTCATGAAGGAAATGGGAAGTTGGGTGGTTCTAGCTGGATAAATCATCCTGAAGCATTTAGAGGGTACCTGGCACAGAGCAAGGACTCAATTACTCTCCTAAGGATTAAACTGGTAGAAACATTAACTACTTTTTCAATAATCCAATTCAGGGTGCTGGAAATAGAAACTTTTAAAGGAATTTTCCTCATCAAAATATCTAATGACATTTCCTAAATCCTTTTATAATTTGCATTCCTTTTTAGCTTCTTTCACTCAAGTCCTGACTCACTAACATTCCAGAATAAGTGGTCTTTCCTTTCTGAGTCTGCCTCTTCCTCTCTTCCATCCCTTGCCTCAACCATCCTTCTCCTTTCACAAGCACACATTTTTTTGCTCTTTCCTCCAGCAAATAGGAACCAAAGAAATGATCAGCATCTGATTGCAATACCATTAACTCTCTGACAAGGACAGTTGCTCTGGGGAGGACAAGATGCGTGCATTGCACACTGGAACACTGCTAGCCCAGCAACATCAGTGTTGAAACCATAGAGTTCATTGAGTTTTAAGTTTCTCTGGCCCAATGCATTAGAAAGAAATGAGACGCAAATTGTGGAATAGAAGACATCATACACTTGTTGGCAGACCTCATTTGTAGTGTTGCAGATTGGGTCCCTGGGCAAGAGACCCTGAGATAGAGATAGCACACAGGATTTTTATTAGGGTGGGCTCTTGGTATCTACAATTGTGGAAGCAAAGGGTGGAGAAAGAAGCAGGATTGGGCAGAGGGAGAAGTTGGGATGCAATGCAGGCTCAGTGAAGATCTCAGCAACTCCCCAGGGAGCTCTGAAGCTGGCATAGCCTTGCACCCCAAGTTGGTGTAGGTCTTCAGAGCCCCACACTGGCATGTCATTGGCGGTGAGCAATCTTAGAATAGGACATGAGATTGAGAAAGGTGACTCTTCACAACTGTCTGCTGGCAACTGCTGGGACTAAGACCTCCACAGCAGAAGAGGATCACAGCAGTGTATCAGAGTATCTCAATGCCTGCCATTAGGACGCTTTTCTGGAGATTTAAAATCTCTTACTTCAGAGGGTGATAACCTACAGCCAGGGGCAGGCTGTTACCCTGTCTATATTTTACTGGAAACTCTAGTTCTCCTCTATCTTCCTGTGTTTTCCCAGTCGTTACAGTCACTGTCCTAGGTTCATCCTCCTGGGACATCTTTCCTACCCCAATTCTGATTTTAGAGCTGAATCATGTGTTTTCAAAGTTTAATAAGAACTCCTACATGCAGCCTTCTCCTTCTTACCTATATAAGTTGAAAGAAAAGAGAAAATCTAGACTTTATGGTTGCCATGTGAGCAATATCAGCTAGACTTGAAAGGCTCAATTAATAGTTCTAGTAACTATATGTAAGAACACAGTGGTTTATTGAGACTGACGAGGAAAGAATTTCTTTCACTTTGTATTTTATAATTGTTGGGGGTTCAGTTAACTCCGTCAGAAAATCCTCCAAATTCAAGGTGGTGTTCCTTACTTCTGCCTCATCATGTTGCCTGCCCTCACACTTTCCTCAGACGTACAATTCGCCGTGAAATTCCTTCCAACAAAGTCATGCCATAGCAAGGTGACATAGGAATGGGGAAAGGATCAGAGTGGCAGGATCTGAGGGATTATGGGAAGTTGAACGTAAATGACCAAGGGGATGTGAGCTTCGAAGTAAGTCTCAACTCTCTCTGGGCAGGAACTTCACATCCCAGGATACTGAATGGAAATTCAAGTCAGTTTATTTGGATTCCAGTGGCCAGTGATAAATAAGACTTAGAATCCTGGAAGACCTGAAAGGCTTCCAAGCTAAAGTCAACGAAAGTGTATAAATATGAACTACCTTATTTCATGAGTAAGGGGAGGTCAAGGTAGTGTCTGACTACTCTGCTCTCCCCAAAGTTATAGCAAGGACCTAGAGATCCAGAAATTCGTAAAATAAATTTATGCCAGGGTGTTATAAAAAAAACCTATATTGCTTTTAGCAACATAAATTAGGTGTTTGGTGGGGTTGTGAGCTTTCTCTCAAGCAAAGAAAAGTAAAAGAAGACCGAGCCTAAAAATCATACTAAAGGAAGGAAATATACACTTGAGGTCTCTGATGAACAATAAGACTCCACTTGGAAAAAGCTTCCATTTTTATTATTGTTTTATTATTTTTACATTCATGTATTGACTGATAGATTTTCTAAAAAAATAACGATCTGTCCAGGTTGGCAGGCGGAAAGACAGCAGTATTTCCATTGGTGCTCTGCCATCCGCTCAGTCCTCTGAGCCTCCACAATGCATCCGCTGATTCACAGTGTCTCCATCAAACACTCTGCCCCCCGCTGAGCCCCAGGGGATGGTGCGGGTCTCAGAGCCCACTTGTTGCCCAGAGAGTCAGAGACTGACGGCCCTGAAGACAGAAGCCCCTAGTAACCCAGCTGTTCTCTGCTCTCTTGATGACCATAATCAGTCTTTCGTTTAAATGTGGTACAACTACAAATTACGCTCTAAAAATAAGTGATTAACTGCTTCTTCATAGTAATTTGCTTATTGTTAAATACACAATTTCTTTCTCGTCCGCAGCCCTAGTGAGGAGACCCTTCTGTCACCCTGCTGGCTGTGATTACCCCTCTTGTGCTCCAGTCCCGGCTCTTCACTTTGTTGCTACCCAGGCCTGGTGAGGAAAACCAGCGGGCTTAAACGACAGCAAGACTGCATTGAGTATTTACTCTTTCAAACACTGTGCTGTGCCTTTTACAATATTATCCCATTTAATCCTTAACCAAATTCTATGTGATTGATTTTTGTGTGTGTGTTCATATTTCACCACAAAGAAAACTGAGGCTAAGAGACATGATGTAAGTTGCCTAATAACACACAGCAAGTCATTGGCAGCCTAAAGATTTGAATCCAGGTATGGCTGAGCAGTGCAAAACCCTGGCCGTCCTGCCAGATGCCTCCCTAGAAAACATGAAGTACGAGGGCTGCACGAAAGAGGGCAATTCGGAACTCACTCTGAGCAGTTCAGCCATTTAGCAGGAGGACTACGTGAGCCAATGTGGTATAGCGGTTCAGAGCAAGTGATTTAAACTAGCCCTGCTGAGATTCGAAGACCTCATCTATAATTTCCTACTTTGTGGCTTTGAAAAAATAATGTTTTAAAATAAATTCTGATATTAGTTGAAAAATGTGGTAGTAATGCACAAGTCTGTTGCGGGGAATGCAAACTAACACATAAAAAGCCTAGTAAGCCTGGCAAAGAGGAAGTGCTCAAAATTGACAGTTACAACTGTCACAGCCAAGAATCGCCTTGGAAATGCGATAGCTAATGTAATTTGGTACCCTGGATAGGGCCCTGGAATTTAAAAAAATACATTATATAAAAAACTAATTAAATCTGTAAATATGAACTGTATTTAGTAGTATTGTGTCAATATTGTTCCGTTAATTATGACAAATGTACCATAATTATGTAAGACAGTAATATGGGAAGCTTGCATTTGGGATATACAGAAACTCTCTATACTATTTTTGCAGTAATTCTGAATATCTAAAACTATTTTTAAATTGTTTATTAAAAAAATAATAGTTACTAATTCTGGATTCATGCCTGGGTTTCCATTATTTTGGAAAATAATAATCACAGTTCTCTTTAAAAATCAACATACAAAACATATAAGCAGGTATCATAAAGCATATTTGAAAACTGATCCATTTTTAGAAGAGCAAATGGGTAAAAAAATGCAGGCCCAACAAAAAGCAATTACACTTTGGCTTGGATTTCAGACAAGCTGTAGAACAAAATCTGTGCCAACTTCTTAAGGCACAAGAAATCATGGAGCTAATGTTTTAATCTGTATTTCTTAAGTACAAATTACATCATTTCCATGAATAAAAATACCTCTATCAGGGTACATTTGGAAAAAACACACACATACATACATACCTACATGTGTGTGTCTATTTATATATATATATTTTTTTATTTTACTTTTTAGTTAATAGTAAAAACCTTCATCTACATAAGGTCTAGTTTCTTGGAGTGGGAACTTTAGGGCATATTCAAAATGTGTATACCAGCTGGTGAACCAAAGTACACTTTTTAGTATTCATGTTTCATATTTGGCCAAAATCTGTGTGAATATAATGTTAAAACAGTATGAAAGGAAAATTGTGATTTTTTTTCTGTATGTTTTTTTCAGAAAAGGCTAGCTAATGCCTGATAATATTTAGGTCCACGGCATTGCCCCATCTGATCCAAAGCTACCAAGCCTTTAATACAGGTACATAATTAACTGGTGCAAAGAACATATAATGTTCAAGATCCCTGAGAGGAATGACCACTGTGTGCATCATGGTGCACAACGTAAACTGTGTACACACATGCATTTACATGTATGCATATGCTTGCACACCCTCACCACAGTCTACAAAAGGTCATAAGTCACTTGCAGATGTTGATGGACCCATTTGCACAAGATTCCTCTCCTTGGAGCAGAGACTGAAAACGTAAAGAAAGACAAAGTGCTTTCTCTGACAAGTAACCTTATAATACTTGAGAGAAATGGTCTTACTTGCTTTTGAAGTAGAATGCTGCACAGAACATGCCCACGATGACAATTCCAAAGATGATACATGAAATTGACAGCACCTGCCTTTGATAAACGTCTTCACTCTCTGTGGATTTGAAAAACAGAATTAGAATGGATGCTAGCAGGGCACAGCAGCAACAATCTTCATCCCTGTACTTCTGAGCTGGTAGGAGTCTTTCAAAGCCAGCTTTTTTGTTTCTGTCATGAATAGGAAAAAATAGGAGGAATTTATTAAGATTCGACTTCTTTGCAACGTTCTATAGAATAACCAGTTGCTATTTTTTGGTATCTGCATGACTAAATCAGAACTCACACACAGATACTGCAACTGTAACTCTTACTATCGAAACACATTCCGTGACTTTGGGACTTAGTGGGGACATGCACTTTTGAAATTATGATGGCACCCCATTTAATCAGCCAGAGAGACAAATACATGTGCATCTCAATTTTCCTGTGCCAGTGATGTCTTCCAATTTAGTTTTTGTAATGCTGATGCCTTTACTGATTCTGATTTAGTCCTTGACTCTCAGTTTCCTATTCATCCTCCTACTACTATGATTGATGTCACTCATGGGAAAAAAATTCAACATGCATGTGAATATTTTATTCACCCACTCTGTGACCTCCTCAATAATCAATGACCTGGCACAGTAGAACTCAGCCTCTATTACCAAGGTCATATCTTATAGCTTGTCAGAGCAAAAATGACAATAATTCAAAAACAAAGATTTCACTCTTGAGCCACTACCACTTATACTCTTGAATCTTTTTTCTGAAGCATGTTGACAGAAACAGTTCTTCCATCTCATCGAGACCTTTGTATCCATAGAACCCAGCAATTTATCTTTGTTAATTATCCTCCTCTTGTTTTTATTTTTCTGCTCATATGCACAGAGACCATCATCCATTATAGTTATTTACTCTCTTGCAAATATTTCCAGTGCATGCATTAATTCTCTTCTATCCATTTGGCAAAATTGAACCCAAGAAACTGCCTTCTCCATACCTCTACCTTGAGCAGCTTGGAACTGGGAGTGATAACTATAATTATATCTAAACATATGTGGACAATTGATTTTTGACAATGAAGCCAAAGTAATTCAATGGTCAAAGAGTCTTTTCAAAAAATGAAATTGCAACAATGGCATAGCCTTACCCACAAAAATGAACCTTGACCCTACCTCATACCTTATATAAATATAAACACAAAAAGGATAATAGATTTAAATGGAAAATTTCAAACTATTAAGTTAGAAGAAACATAGGAGAAAATTTTAGTACCATGGGTTTGGCAAAGATTTCTTAAGTAAAATATAAAACATACAAACTATAAAATGTTTAAAAATTAATAAAATAGAAGTCATCAATATTAATGGCATTTGATAGTCAAAGACACCATTATGAAAATCAAAAAGCAAAACATGGTCTTGGAAAACATTTATAAAATACATATTCAACAATGGACTTGTATCCACAATACACAAGAATCACTAACAACTCAATAGTAAGCGATCCAATTTAAAAATGGGCAAAATATTTGAGTAGACACTTTCCCAAAGATATATGGATGGCAAATAAGTACCTTAAAAGATGGTCAATGTAATTTTTATTGTGAAATTGCAAGCTAAACTATAATGAACTATAATGAGATATATGGCACTTCCACTAAAATAGCTAAAATTAAAGTCTCCCATAGTAAGTGTTGAAAGGATGTGGATCAGCTAGAACTCTCATGTACTTCTGATGGAAACGTAGAATTATATGTCTACCTGAAAGAATAGCTTCACAGAAAGTTAAACACATACTTACCTTATGATCCAGCCATTCCATTACCCAAGACTAATGAAGACATAATTTCATTGTGTACCCAAATGTTCATAGAAACTTTATTTGCAATAGCAAAAAAACAAGGAAATAAACCAACTGCCCACCAACAGGTGAATGGATAATCAAATTATGGTATATCCATACAATGGAATATTTCTCAACATTAAAAAGAAATGAACTATTGATATAAGCAGCAATATGAAAGGATCTCAGAATAATTATGTTGAGTGCAATAAGTCAGGCAAAAAGTGGGTACATGTTGTATAATTCCAGTTATATAAAATTATAGAAAATAAAGGTTAATATATAGTGACAGGAAGCACAAATGCAGATACTCAGGAATAGGAAGGGAGAGGGTTTTTTTTTCTTGAGGAAAGAAATTAAAAAGTGATATTAGGAAACTTTTCATAGTTATAGATATATTCCTTATTTTAATTACAGTGATGGTTTCACAGGTAAATATTTATGCTAAAAATGTAAAAAAAATATTCATTATAAATTGGTGGTTTGACCTATGACCACTGTAGCTGCAAAAATATTAATCCTGGGGGATTAATGCTGTTATCATGGGAGTGGGCTAGTAATTGCAGGAGTGGGTTAGTTATCACAGGAATTAGCTCCTGATAAAAGGATGAGCCTGACCTGCTTTTCTCTCTAGTGCACCCACGTGCCCTTCCTCCTTTTGTTGTGGGATGACCTTCTCCAGATGCTAGTTCCATGCTCTTGGAATTCCCAGCCCCAAGAACCATAAGCCAAATAAACTTCTTTTTAAATGAATTATCCACTCTATAGTATCTGTTATAGCATCAGAAAATAGACTGATTCAGGGACTTTCCCATCCAACCCTGGCCTCCTCACTGTGATTCTGCACTCATAACGTCTTTCTCACAGGACAAAGTGCCAGGAAGAAAATGGTGAAACCACTTGTTCCCTGGCTTTGCGGGAGACTGCAGAAACACATAGTGATGCACAGATACTCCCACTGTTCATCTTTGTGTGGATTTGTGTGCTGTTCTCATTGCACGTCTGCACTGGTGTGCTGCCTGGCTTTGCATTCTGGACCAGTTTCACTTGGTGCTAATGTCAATACACAGCCAGAGAACCAAGCTGAGAGCTGGGTAATGTATATGAATTTTTCATACTATGACATTCTGGGTTGTTTCCAAAATGCTCGAGAAGGTTCTAGGGCCAGCTGAAATGAGCCCACGACTGGTGATGTTTCTCTACTAATAACATTATTTGCAGTACTTTATTGTTATTAAATCCTTAGGCAAAGGGGTCCCAGACAAAACAAACCTGGATCAAAGCCCAAACTCTAGGACCTATTTTCTTTCTTTCTTTTTTTTTTTTCTGAGACCACGCACTATATCCTCTCAATAAATATGATTACACATTTTATAGTTCTTTTTCCTGTGGAAGTACATTGGGAACCAATGTTTTAAAAGAACTATCCTCTCTTCTCTTTCTTCTTAGGCTTTATTTTCATTTCAATGTCTTTATTCAGGCTAGAGTATTAGGAAACAGAAAGTAAACCTAGAAAAAAATTACATTATCTACATTTCTGGGTAAGTAGAGAGGTACAATCATGTGCCCTGTGGCCTGCTTTAATATTTTAAATTTGGAAATATTCCAATTACAGGGATACAGAATGTGTCACCAAGACATTGTTTGGGCATATTGTTATCTTACAAAATGTCATTATTTCCATCCCTACATTTGTTAGCTCATTAAATTTTCCAATTGAACTTGGAAACAAATAAATAGTTGTTCCAACTCTAAAAAATTCCATTTCACTTAATTGTTGTGAGTTGGTGACTGCCATGGAATAAGCATGACTTTCATATGATAATCTACTCCACCCTGCCTCTGCCTACAAAAAGAATTATGAAGGAGGATAACAAAAAGAACATGATGGAGGATAAAACCCACTAAAACACAAAGAAAACGACTGTACCCACTAAACTGAAGGATTTCCACGTAAAATCCACGTGGTGTGTTTCTTCTAATTTGAAGCTGGCCAAATGTAGCCAGAGGAAATGCAAAAAATCAATTTTGAGTTTAAATCAAGAGTGAAATTAAAACTGCAAAGACTACAAGTGAATTTACAGACCCAGGCGTAGTTACAATGACAGTCCTGTCAATGCACTTGATTCATAGAATGTTATACAAGAACCAGCATGAAGCAAAGGCCTGAGAGTCTGGCAATGTTGGATTTCACTCCAATTTTGGCTACTTTTAAAATGAGTGACCAGAAATATATTACTTTACCTTTATAAACCTCAATCCCCTCACCTAAGTAAAGGCAATGCTATATCACTTATGTTTATTTTTATAATTATATCAAATGAGTTTTCTTAAATATATAACATATAGTAAGTAATTCAATAAATTCTAGCTCAATAATTCAATAAATTCTACCTCCATGTGGGCAGGCACTATCCAATGTGCTGGGAGCCCAGGCAGAAGAAAAACAGAGAAAAGGCAAATATGTTGATTTATCTGCTAGAGCTGGGATATACTCTCTCTCCTGTCCTTGGACAGCTCCGTGCTCGCCAGCCTTGGGACTCCATGAATCATACCAGTGACCTCCATATGCTCACCTCTGTCCTCTCAGACTGAGTGGTCCACCATCTGCTTCCCAGGTTCAGAGGCTGTGAACTTAGACTGGGTCATACTGCCAGCATCCCAGAATCCCCAGTTGGCCAAAGGCCTGTTGTGGGACTTTTAAGCCTCCATAGTCCCATGAGCCTATTCCCCTACTAAACCCTCTCTCATCTGTCTCTAGCTATATATCCCATTGGCTATGTCTCTCTGGAGAACCCTAATCAATACATCATGAACCTATAATATTTGCCTTATAAAACATTCTTGCTAGGTACATGATGGATAGAAGCTTGCATTCAAGAGTAGAAATACACTTACGCTTTTGAACACTTCATGTATTTCATTAATGATTTTTTTAAGGTATTGCCATGAGGATTGCAGAGCTTCCTATGATTTGGGTCCAAGAAGAGCTCAACAAAATGGTGAAAGAAATTGCCAGTGAGCTTGCTTAGGAACAAGTAAAAGGTCATTATGAATCAGCATCATATAATCAAAAGTGTGAGGAACTAGAGTTAGGCAGACCTATTTTAAATTCTGGTTTTGTCGTTGTTCAACCACAAGACTTTGGGAGAAGTTACTTAACCTATGGGCACTTTACTTTTTCATCTACCAAACAGGAACACTAATATCTGTGTTCAAGGCCCTGCATCT